TAAGCCTCTTTAGTACGTTACGAGCTAGGATGTTTGCCAAGAAGTATAACAACTTCTAACGTTAGTTTACGTATGAATTCATTAGTATAAAGACGAAAAAACTTACGGTTTGACTCCTTGAAGGTATGTGGCGTCCTATGACAGTATCCTCTATAATATGCTTCTTCTACATAGGGGTTTTCATAATTGGTAGGTAAGTTAATAGTTGTACATAATACATCGTAGACTACATCATCGCTTACCACCAGGCAAGATAGTGGTCAAATGTCGGTCCATTATATAAAAATAAAAAAAAAATATTTTTGGTCAGTTATATCAAAACTAACAGATTGCTTGCACGGTTGGCACAGTGGTCGGGTGATCGGCTGCTATGGGACGTGTCGCGGGTGTTAAATACCGTGCTGGCCAAAAAGTGACAATGGCATTTTTTGAGTAAAAAGACTATTATTCGGAGTTAGGAAGTTCGGCGGTGTTCGAACCCCGTGTTTCGGAAAGCACGTAAAGCCGTTAGTCATGCGCCTAACCTCTCTTCGATCATGTCGGTTTGCTGTTCCATCGGGTTCAGAGAGTAAGGGTACAGAGAGTACACCTGTGTTTGAGCACATATTTGTGCATTATAATATCTCGTACGTAGTGGGCTAGAAAATTTAAAACACAAGTCTATAAAATAAAACCATCTGAGAACTAAATGTAGGAGAGCCATGCAAATGTGGGAGAGCCATGCTTCGGCACGAATGGGCCGGCTCGACCGGAGTGATACCACGGTCTGACAGAAAACTGACGTGAAGCAACGCTTGCGTTTTATTTCGCCGTGTGAGTGAGGTTACCGGAGGCCCAATTACCCTCCCCTTCCCCAATCTCTCCAATTCCTGAGTCCCCAACGATCCTCAAACTCCTAATCCCCAAAAGGCCGGTAACGCACTTATAATGCCTCTGGTGTTCCAGGTGTCCATGGGCGACGCCGATTGCTTACTATCAGGTGATCCGTCTGCTCGTTTATCGGCTTATGCTATAAAAAAACTAATTTAATTCTCAAAACTACTCACGTTTCAAAGTAAACAAAATAATGGTTGACAATAACATAACGTGAATATTACGTGAGAAATAAAAATACACGATGAAATATAAAATTTTATATTTTCTTTATTTTTATGTACAATGTTATACTAAAACGTATACATTTGGTATTGTACTGTATCATTCAAGTTGTACACAGAGCTGATTAATTGATAGACATGGCATTTATGGCATAAGTCCCTAAATAAATGTATATGACATCAAGAAAAGCCAATTTTCACACGTAGAAAGGAACATAAAACAAAATTATTATGGACAAAATTTTATTTATGAATTTTGGCATATAAGCCTACAAAATATACCCATTCGTAGGTACTATCATGTCTATATTCCTAAAAGCTCTGTGACAAACTTTTTAAGACTGCAGACAATATAAATCATATTTATTATTTTATTGTTTGGCGTTATAATATCTGATATCTATAGGAGGTTAAAGCTTAAGACGATTTATTGAATTTGATTTGAAAATGTCTTGTAAGAATATTTTTAGTAACATATTTATATATTGTATCAATTTGTGCACTGGTACCAATATGACAAAAAGAATTAACAACAAATATTTCAAAAGAGTTCTACAAATAATTTTGTACTTTATCACAAGGCAAATAAATCATTTTTTATTTTGAATCTCTTTTTAGACCACATCTGCCTAAGTTAGTGACGAATAATTTGATGTATCTTCCATTATTTATTAGATATGTCAATAATGCGTCAGTAACGCTACCAGATATTTTATCGGTAGTGGTGAAATAGACTTTATAACTTCTAATTCTGATTACAAATCCATTCATCGAAGCTTTTAAAAAATTGCATAGTCTACAAATTTAAACCTTATTTATATTACAACATAAAGTATTTTATAACACAAATCTATTTGTATTTAAAACTTAATCTTTGTAACTTGTTCTTTGGTCTTAAATTAGCATGTACTTTCTAACAACTACATACATACATATTACACATTGATTTATTATGAAATAAAATAGTAACTATTGTCTGTTCGTCATAAAATGATTTGCATGACACTCATTATAACACTTACTAGGGCTGACAAATAACATAATTTATGATATCGATAAAATTAATCGACAAAAACTTTTACAAAAACAAAATTGACAATCGAAATTTTCACGTGTCATACAAATCATTGTAAAGGAACCAAGTAGGTATGATAAAGAAAAATATGATAATATTTTGCATCAATCGCTTATATTTTGAATCTGACTTTACTTATATTAATTAAAAAAGTTAATAGTAAACTAGATAAAGACACAAAAGGTTCAGTATCATACTTGCGCATAACTAACGCGTCTTGTACATATATAATTATTGCTTACAAATACATGATATAAAAATGACAGCTAATATAGAGCTGACATAATATTAGTCACTGAAAAGATTTTAATATCAGTTTTCACAACAAATTTCTACAACAAACGTACAGTTTGTTCCAATACAGACATAGGTAGACGTCTCTATTACTCTTCTACAGTTTCTCTCTCTATCTCTATCCCACATAACTAGGGATAGTCAATCCAGTGTCAGTTAGCGCACAGTGGGCTACTTTGTTTGTTAAGCAAATTGATACACCGGTTCCAAGTTGCGACACTTCGATTTCATGTTACCCACTGTTATCCGTCGCTCGGTGTTTTGCGCTAGTGATGTGAAATCGTTTTTTGGTGTTTTATCGATAGTTTCGTTTTGAAGGTAGTGTCCAATTGGGGTAAGGGTAAACTATAAATAAATTGACAGATTTTATGAGATTTGGTTTTTTATATTTAACATTAGATATTATCACGATATCAAATCAATTGATATAGGTAATTTAAAAAATCTTTATGTTGATTAAAAGTACTTTTATGCGATGCCATGATCATTAATTGATTTTTTAAGAAAATAGTAAAGTCCTTTTAGATTGAACGCAAAATATATCATACTTTTTTACTAAACTAAACAAATCGGTGAGATGATGACTACAAAAACTATTTCAACTAAACAATTAAAATTAAATGAAATATTAATTATGGAAGAGTAAGGCTACGCTTTATCTACACCTTAATACCCGTAACATGTAAATATGGCAGCTAAATTATTTAATGTAAAATTATCTTTATAATTAATTATAACATTATAATACATTTTTGGTAAATGCCCTTCACAAAACTGATTATAACACTACTTTTTCTAAGTAATTTATGAAACATTTATGTTAATTGCTACAAAATTTTATCATGAATAAAATACTTTATCAAACAATACTAACACAGGTAATCCGATGAATGCAAAAGAGCTTTAAATGATTTTGGCTTATAATAACTAATAAATATTTTTATACACATCTATTACTAACACGTTTCATTTAATCACTAAAGCTACATATAAAATTGTATCACTATTGAAATAATACTGAGTCATACATACAACACATTTATACAATTTATATGCACTTATAAAAATACAATTTTATCCAACATAAATAAATATCAAAATGTGATTCTAAAGACGTAATCTTATTTTCGAATCACTATTTTCAAATTATGAACTTAAAATTGTCATAAATCTTAATCCTTATACTATAAAATACATCATTTTGAATAATAATTATTCACATTATTATATTCAGTGACATTTTATGTTATATTCATAATAGTAATAATAGATATTCTTTCTTATGAAATTAAATAAGACGCAAAAATTATATTACGTTTTCTAAGGCATTGTTCAACTTGATAAATTGTGTGCAATTTATTATGCTAGAAATATTATAACGTATCATATTCTATTATGAGCTCACGTATTGTGATTTTAGTTAGATATATTATGACAGGGTTGTAACATAGATGATCAGCTGTCGTCTTAGTAAGTACCTACTTGGTAGAATGATCGTGCTTTCCATACATAATAATCTTATTGTACTGCGAAACTGTAGAGTGCCTACAATTTATGGTACTTTTTGGCTCTAAAAGCCTGCGTCAGGCTCGGCAAAGCAAGATATAAAGTGATATTGTTCGGATTTATGGGTATATTTCATGTTGGAGTCATTTATAGAGAATATTACGCGAATTCTTTTCTTTTTCTGTAGCCATTGTGCGGAGTTAGATATTGGAGTAAGCCTTCATATTACGAAAACTATTTAATATAACTTTGAAATCAATTGTATAATATAATAAAGTCATGTAAATGTAAAATAAGTTAACTATATATAAAGTCTCTAGAATGAAGTGGCTAGTTCTAGTGGATTTAAATGCAACTATAGTAATTTTTCTTTGAAATATATCCGTAATAGCGAGCAGTGAGCTCATGAAAAATCGCCATACGTGAGTCCTCAGAGTGCATGATGCAGTAAATTCCCTCGGAATAATAAATCTTCCACGATTTATCATAATGTGTGATATCTTGGTCATTATTCCGGCAACGCATGTCTTATCGCTACAGTTCCCTTTTATGAAATAAGTATATTTCATATAGTGCGATACAACAACTTGTCATTTTTATTAAAGTAAAATAAGACTATTATTGAAATGACAAGATTTGTGTATTTCATTAAATTCTTCAACTGTAATTATATCTGTATAAATAAACTATTTCATCAGTAATGATTTATAGTGCAGTTCAATCTTCTATATTAATTGAATATTTCTTTGTAATTCAAAACTTTAAAGCGTTGTTTTTGCGTCGGTACTTATCCATAGCTAATTTATTTTTATAATAATATACTTTCCATGTAACTCACTCTACGCCATTATTACAATAAATACAACGCATTGATTCATTATTATTTGTAATCACCGACATTACTTTCTTGAATACATTAAGCGTTGTTTGATCTTTAACCAATCATTACATTTACCTTATTATACAACACCAATACAAGACCTTCTCAAGACATTTTATATAAATTATATATACAATTATACAATATATTAAGTGCGTGTTTCTAATTCGTTTCTCGTCAGTTCAGTCTCTTGTATGTCGTCTTCACTTCGACTTGAATCTGAGTCACCTGAAAATGTATCGCATTATTCTTCGCAAGTACACTAAACTTAATAATAATAAAATATAAAATATTTCGATAAGTTTCATTGCTATAGAAGATATGTAGACTGAACAAATTTACCCCATTATAAAGCTAATTATAAAAGTGAGCAATTGAGTTCAATAAATCAACAAGCGTTAAAATAAAAAACCGAGTTAACACTATCACTGTGATTATGGTGGCATTTCAGGTTTAAAATAAATTAATAAAAGTATATCTCTTTGAAACTAAATCACAAATACATGTCATATTTTAGAAAATAAATTCTCCAAATAACACGATAGTCTCCAAGGAATGCAATTAAAATTTGAATCGAATGAGAAAGTTTACAAACTATTGCGCAGTAGGTAAGTATCATTTTAATAATAATTTAATTAAAATTTACTTCATAATTTGTTTTATGAAAGGTACAATGGACTTTAAGTTCAAGTAGTTTAACTGTTAAAGGACTTTGGTAATTTATATTAGAAATGTTTAAATTTATTGATAAACAAATAAGACAGATATTACAATAAATTCCAATAACATAATGTCTTAGTTTTCTCAACGACAATTTAATCCAAATGTCATATGACTATTATGGTTCAATCAAATCTTTATCCACATACATCTATCACTATGCACGTCAGCTTGTTCTCGTATTCTACCTTTATGTTCACAGATCTTAGATTGAATGAATGTAAAAAATAGCTGAGATGTGGGTCAATAATAGCACAGAATTTAGAATTAAGCCAAATGTATTTGTCATGGTGGCCCGGAGGCTTAAGACTCCGCTTCTCATGCATTAGGTTGCGGGTTCAAAACCGATCAACGGCAAGTACCAATGTGACATTTTGCGAGTTATATGTACTTTCTAAGATTATTTAGACACCACTGACAAACGGTGAAGGAAAACATCGTGAGGAAGCCTGGTCTTAATTTGTAATTGAGTTTGAAATCGCCAATTCGCATTGAGCAAGCGTGGTGATTAATGCTTAAACCTTCTCCGTGTGAGAAGAGACCTTTGAAGAGTTGTTGATTTATGTAATGTATGTATGTGTATATGAGCCAGGTCCACATCTTATTATGATTAAAATGCTTAAAGTTTGAAAAAGAAAACTCATAAAGAAATCAATTGTGCAAAACCTAAATCAAATCATACCATCACCACTTGGATACAAAATTAATACTTCGCAGTCCCAAAATACATTCCAAATTAATTGCTACAACAGAACGAAATCTTCTACAAAGGGTTTAATTTCTATTTCCATATATGTAGTAAAGCTACGTAGTCGGTGTAAGTCGGTGCTAGCCGCAGCTTGCATCCCGAGATATGTGCATATATTAACATGTGGCTAGTACACAGGTACCTACATTGTGAGACTTGCAATTATTTTGTAGGACTATAAGACTTGAGTATTCTTAACTTAAAATAATATACCTTATATTTCCCAGAAGTACCAGGTTGTTTTGTTATCCTTACTAATATTATAAATCGGAAAGTGAGTTTCTTTGTTTGTTTGTTTGTTCCATTTTCGCGCCGTAACTACTAAACCGATTGCTTTAAATTTTTGCAGACGTGAAGTTAGAAGTCTGGATTAAATAATAGGGTACTTTTTATCCAGGAAAAATTTGATATTCTCGAGGGAGAACGAAATTATTGGTATAGATGGCGCTGTGTGTATTAGTATGTGTCACATAGGCTACTTTTTATCCTTTTGTGACGCGAGCGTAGCCGCGGGTAAAAGCTAGTATGTTATAAGCCAAGTAGCAATAGGTGACTGACTCTACTGTCATACAAATCACCGAGAATATTCTACTCCGTTACTGAGAATAGGGTAGTTGCCAGAATATGAAAATTAAAAATCTAGTTAGTAAGTTATTAAGATATTTAATATTTTCTCGTATAAAGTTACAATACTTAGATAAAATGGCATTAAGTTTAAGGGTTTAAGTCGTTACATCACAACGTGCTACAAAATGTAGGACGCCACACAATATTTCAAATTAATATATCGTATCGTAATCGTATTTAATTTTTAGAATAAATACAGGTATAATGTTTTAAATTAATCTACCAGATGAATATTAAAATAAAATTTAGTTAACTACCCTATTTTAGGAACTTAACATCTGTACAACACTGTGTCCATAACGGAAACCGAACGTTCAGTCATTTCGCTCTAACAACAACTTAATAAAATCACGATGAGTGGAAATTTATTTTTTACCCGTACAAGTAGACATCTTTGATAATTATTCTAAGACATTTTAATTGTTTTAGGTATTACCATGAGGCCTGGTGTCTAGAGCCAGTACAGCAAGCGGAGCATCATCAAGCACTCCTGACCACCTCGCAGCCAGGACTCTGGAACCTCTATGGCCTCTCACCACAACTGTGGGCATCACGTTGGAAGAAATGGTAGATCCACCACCATACATGGATACCCCTACGTTTCTTCTAAGTATTGTGCTATAGAGAGTAAAATAAATTAAATGGTAATTTTTAGAACATTATTCTTATTTTAATAGACTTTGTATCAGACAACATTTTAAATACATACATACATTCACACATACATAACATCACGCCTTTTATCTTCGAAGGGGTAGGCTGAGGTGCACATTATGCCACTGTACAATGTAACACCCACTTGCACTATTTATGTTATGAGTCCCATGTAATAGGGGGTGAGCCTATTGCCATATACCGGGCACAGTTCGCAAGTGCGACTGCCGGGCAAGGGGTCTCGGGTTTGATCCCCGGGTCTGGCAAAGTATTACTGGGTTTTTAAAAAAATGTCAGTAGTAGCAAGGAGTCTGGAATTGTGCCTGGTATATGCTGGAGAGAGCCTATTGCCATAGGCTCTTTCCCTATTACATGGGACTCATATCATAAATAAATAAGTCTGTTTCATTGTACAGTGGCATTAAGTGCCGTAATCTGCACCTCTGTTTACCCCTTCGGGAATAAAAAGACGTGATGTTATGTTATGTTTATTATTACCTCTGTTCTGGATCCCTCGGTCTACTCTTCTTCTTGCACATTACTATCATTGCGACACACAGAGTAGTGAGGATAGTCAGTAATACAAGAGACAGCGCAGCTCCGACCAGCAGTGCCACACTGTTGTCAGTAGTTGGTGGCTGCGGAGGCGGCGCTGGTGTCATCGTTTGGAGAGACCCTGGTAAAGTTAGTAATTTTGAAGTCAACAAATAATAGATAAGCGATATTTTTGGTACACCATAAGTTACGGCATTGTTTATTTGTTTTATCTAGAACACGTCAGATTATTTGAGATTTCATTACTACAAATAATTATAATGTGCGGTGGAAAACAAAAGGCAAATCAGATTTATAAAAGAAAATTCACAGAAGACACACTTTTCAGCTAGATCCAGACAATTTTTGTTCAGATCAACTAATTCGAATACTAAATTACCTAGTCATAGGTCAGATTTGTAGATATTCAAACATGAATCAGGACAATAATTTTCAAAAGGTACATAAAATAATGAAAGAGAATAATTGGTGCTCACCAGGTCTATCCAAGTCATCAGCAGTTCGTATCTGTACGCTGTGCAATGCGGCAGGTCTTTGTGATCTTCCACGAGGAGTTTCAGCGTAAACCAGCAATGTATACTTCCCAGGAGACAAAGCATCTAGAGCGAACTGAGGTTTGTCGTTTCTGACACGATACACAGCTTCAGTTAATCCAAACGCTGATATTCCCTGAGACCAGAAAAATGTACTTGGAATACGAATTATTACATTAAAAAACAAGAAAAAGAAAAACTCATTGTTAGAGTTTTATTATAATTGATGATGCAAAATATTAATCCGTTTAGATAACAATATGTCTATTAACAATAAGATTTCACTTTATGATAATATTTTTAAAGACGTTGTATATTATAATAGCATTATGTTTTCCGTGGAATACTCATGTATTGTTACTGTATGCATTATGTTTTCTTTGAATGGGTTGTTTGCTACAGTAATATGATATTTTAAAGGCCGCTTATAAACAGGATTATTCAAACACAATGAAGATGGCAGCTTCATTATTACTTTAGTCATATTATTATGATGTTAAAATGAATGCAAGTCATCGTTTAATCAGATTATAGTAGCTTGTTTTTTGTAAAACATTGAAATATATTAAATACACAAAGTAGTGTAAATTCTGTCATAAAAAAATAAAATAAATTTATTTTAGAGCACATTAAAAGTTCCAACAATTGAAAAATAGTTCACCCTATCAAAAACTTTTTATACTAAATACATTAGAAATCAACATGAATATTACTTTACTTTACTTATGGATTAAAAATAACAATAAAATAATTAAGACCAAAAAAAAAAGAATGTTAGAAAAAACAACATGCAGACAAAACAACAGAAATACATATCTGTGATCGAATGAAACAAAAAACAGTTGAAAATGGTTTAACAGAATGCTTCATACAAATCTATAGAGGACAGTAACTGGTAAATTTTTTGTCGTTTTTTCCATATTTTGAAGCTAACCAAACAGAATTCATAGTTCCAGCACAAAGTAAAGCGTGTGAATTTTACACTATTTTTAAAGTTAGAATAAAAAAAATAGCTGCATGTCTAGAAAAAGTTCAACTAGGAAAAAATATGATCATTGTTATACACGGGAGATCTTTTTGCTCTCCACTAGTTTTTAAAACATTATATTATATTTAACGCATCCTTTGTTCTTTCGTTCATGATAATATTTAATTAGCTGGAATTTTAATATCATCCTTTTGTGACACAGAGAAATATATTTTTTTACCTTATAAACCGTTGAAAACAGGGATTTTTATCACAAGACATGGGTTAAGGACAACTATCGGCATTAGACAAATAATTATTTCGTGTAGACGATTAAGCCAACCGTGCAATAAATTGGAAAAACGTTTTAATCTCGCCGAACAAAGATTAATTTAAAAAGTACAATATCATGCAATTTATTCAATATCGTTGTAATAGTAAATGTTTTGCCATTTTAGAAGGATGTGGTCTTAAGAAGCCATAAAAGACATTGATGATTAGACTGTTACATTTAAAGAGCAGAAGAACTCCTATTAGCCGAAGAGCTGAAGACACATAGGGATGCGAAGGTCCACATTTAGTTAGCACGGCACCACAGCCACGCCGCGCTCACCTGATCATTCATCGTGGAGATCTCATTGTCTTCTCGCGCGGTTTCAGCGCGATGCCGTACCTCCAAAGCTTCTAGAAGGAACCGCTGAGGAAGACCACCATCATGACCTGGTTCGCAGTGAAGCAGCTCGTTCTCTATCTCGCAGTTGCTTGGTGGTTCAGGGAGCGCTGGGGAGATGAGGTGACATGAATTGTCATGCATGGATAGGTGATGAAATAAGATTTATTGTAAGTGTGTAGACTGCCTCGTTGACAGAGTGGTCGCAAGTGCGACTGCCGGGCAAGGGGTCTCGGGTTCGATTTCGGGGTCCGGCAAAGTATTACTGGGTATTTTAAAAAAAATCTCAGTAGTAGCACGGAGTCTGGAATTGTGTCCGGTATATGGCAATAGGCTCACCCCCTATTACATGGAACTCATAACATAAATAGTGAAAAGTGGGTGTTACATTGTACAGTAGCATAATGTGGTGGAAACAAACAATTGCAGTGGTTCTAGACTTGCAAGGTTAACACTAAGAGCTAAATATTACCAGCTGGTAAGATCCTGAACAGGCATGGCTCCCGCTGATTCCCAACATCATTGCTTGCCCAACACGCCAACCAGCCCAAATCCTCATCTACATCGGAGTGTAGACCATGGATCACTGTACTGGTAGAACCCATCACTGTCACGTTGGCTGCTGGTATCTATAGACACGGACAATTTAGTTTAGTTTATACCTTTGTAGAATGTAGATACCATCTAAAATTAGAACTATGATAGTAAATAAAAAAACGGAATCATTAAATACCGTTTCTGTTTCTCTGTGTCGATAAACTAAATAAGTAATAGATGCATATAGTGATTGATGACAAGATTTACTGGTCGACTGTATTTAACATGTATTAATAACCACCCGGAGTTTTAAGACGCCCGCTTCTCATGCATGAGGGTGCGGGTTCGAAACCGGCTAGTACCAATGTGACTTTTTCCGAGTTATATGTACTTTCTAAGATTATTTAGACTGACAAACGGTGAAGGAAAACAGCGTGAGGAAACCTGGACTTATAATTTCTAATTATAAGTTTGAAATCGCCAACCCGCATTGAGCAAACGTGGTGATTAATGCTCAAATCTTCTCCGTGTGAGAAGAGGCTTTGCTCAGCAGTGGGCATTTATAGGCTGTTGATGATGAATAACCACCTGAATTTAAAAACATAGGTATAATGTACTCTCATATACCATACCGGCAACACATCTTTAGTTCCATTGTAAGTCCAGTAGAACCTCAGTGGACCAGCGTCTCGGCTCGCTGGTGCAGTCACCGAGCATCTTGCCCTGACTTCACCTCCAGGTGCTCCTGCTAATTGCTGGACTACATTACCAGCTGCACATTCTGGCCGTGCTATATAGAAAAAGGAAGGTGGTAAGGATGCCATTCGAAATGAGTGCGTAAAGTAGTTAAAGTCAATTGAAATGACAGAGAGAATAAAAAGTTAAAATGTAAAAAGTCTACATAGAAACAACGTAAGTTTTCTAAAAATAAGGTATTTGCATACTGTAAGATTTAGTTTGCTGCAGCAGTCAAAGTAGGTAGTACCGAGTGAATAGGTTGCTTATGGGTATGGGCACACGTGCTCCATTGTAGGCCTCATCATCGCTTATCACCAGGTGAGATAGTGGCCAAACGTCGGCCCATCAAATACAAATAAGTGGGGGAGAGATAAGTGGAGGAGTGCTTTGGCACGAATGGGCCGGCTCGACCGGAGTGATACTACGACTTCACAGAAAACCCACGTGAAACAACGCTCGCGTTGTGATTCGTCGTGTGAGTGAGGTTACCGGAGGCCCTATTACCCCCCTCCCTAGACTCCCTAATCTCCCGAATCCCCGTTTTCTCCACAATCCTCAAATACCCAATTTCCAAAAGGCCGGTAACGCACTTGTAGCGCCTTGGAATTTCGGTTGTCTATGGGCGGCGGCGATTGCTTACCATCAGGTGATCCGTCTGCTCGTTTATCGAATTATGCAATAAAAAAAACAAAGCAAAAAATTCCTGCTTAATATAAGTTGAGAATATTTTTATCACATTGTCATGCAAATTGTATAAACGTCATTATTTTTGAAAAAAACTCACATAACACATTCAAAGTGAGCGGGTCACTGAGTGCACTGCCTTCAGAATTCCTGGCTCGACACCGGTACACAGTGGAGTGATGTCTCCTCAACCCTCTAATGACGAGTCTATTATTTTCTATCGACAGACCTCCGATGGGATCGTCTCTTATTAGATGGACCTGAGGAAAATGAAGATAATAATATGTAATGAGACGTTTGATTTGAACAAAATTACATTAGTGCATAAACTGTTAAAAAATTCAAAAAAACAGTTACAATACTGGAATATTAGTAGTTAGTAAAAATGTTCTTTGGATTGGATTACAATTTATAGTCTTAATAGTCTCCAGTCGACTACTCTAACTAGCGTTTACCGCCATTTTTTCTATGATTTAAAGTTTTCACGGAGATTTTCCATAGGCATAAAAGTGATATCTATTATACGAACTCTTGAACCTAATTCATCATACACGTATAAAGCCTAAACCAAAATCAAATTCCGTCACCATCTTACCTACAAACTCAACAATATTATGAAGTTATTATTTGACGGCATAACAAATTGAATTTTCATGAAGCAACAATTAAATACTCATTATTAAATCACGCCAACAAAGACTTAGTACGTGAACAATATGAACATGCTAACATTATATTTACTTAGAACTTTCTAGAATTTCTTCTTTATAATGTTGCAGTTTTAAAATTGTTTAAATACTTCTTTTTGTATGTTTATCTGAGGTTCTCTTTAAGGTAAAGTTCCTGTAGATAACTTATTTTGTAGTGACGTGTGTTTAAAGAAATATGTTGAGTTTATAATAAATTCGTGAGTGTTTCTTTTTTGTTTTTTTTTATTTTATTTATTTAGAAAACCAATAGCGTTACATTATAGTTTACAATAGTTTGCGTGAATTACAGAGATTAAGGTTAATAATAGGATTTCCCTTTTTTCTAGACTTTGTAAACATGCGAACGGACTTAATTAAGTTAACAATATAAGATCAAGAACAAAAAATGATTTACTTAATCAGTTAGTTAGTTACAAAGACTTAGATTTCGGAATAACTATTTAACTCATGTTTTATCCATACATACAATGAAATCCAAAAAACTGTGTAATTGAATACTTTTTTAAAAGAATACACACAGGGCGTACAATCGATATCGAGACCAAAAATATAGTTTTTAGAATTTTTATCTGTTTGTCTGTATGTATGTCCGGGCTAAACACAAAAAGTATGCCATGGATTTGCTTCAAACTTTGCATGAACGATACTAACAGATCGAGTCAATATATAGGCTACATATTATCACGCTATCACTTAAGTGGCCTACCTAGTTAAAGTCAGTACCTATTCCACGCGGACGAAGTCGCGGGCACAGCTAGTACGATAATAAAATTATACCTCCCAATATCAAGACTGTACTTATTTTATTAGACTCATTTTGATAAATGGAGACTTTAATACTTACTACTATAATACTCTAACTTCTAAATCTGTCTGTCTGTCGACTTTACTACAAAATTAAATAAATCAAACCCGACAAGAAAAACAAATACCTATAAAAACTCATAATACACATACCACCTTCACAGTCCCTCACAAATAAACCACTAAATTATAATAATATCAATAACAGTGTCAAGCAAATAAAACGAAAAGACAGCCCTAGAACTTCAATATAATAATGCATTTGCAGTCGCATCTACTTCAAAACTTTCTTGGTAACGCTTTCAATAACTTACTTCTGGTCCCTTATAGAATGTGAAGTTGACAGCTGGTGGTGACGCGTCTGCTGAGCAGAGGAGTTCAGCATTTTCATCTTCTCGAAGCAGACGAGGCTCTTTTGGCTCAGTCAGGGATATTTGTGTTACTGGTGGGTCTAAAACAAAATTGTTATAAGTATTAAGAAGTTTGGATCCTATATATAGTTCTTGTATTGTTTTCTGTTGCATAATGTTAAGTATAAATGTCTATAGAAACAAAATGTGCTACTATAAGAATTATACATATTTAGAACTCCTTTTTTTATTAGGTTGTTTGTCTTCAATTGTAAAACATTATCCGATGCATATTACTATGTATATCATTTGCATGCTTAAATGGTAAAATATGGCTCAACCTGTATTTTTATGTCACCTGTAATTGTTACCCATATTTGCAAAATAAAAGTATCTTTATCTTTATCTCCTCTCGCCTGCGATACAGGATTGTCTTCATGCAGGCATTTAACATTGTGAGGACAATTGGGATGATGACAGGGTATGAAAATTAAAAGTCTAATTAATCCATAAGTTAGGTAGTGAAAAAATATTAGACACGTATTTATTAATTTTGACGTATAATAAAACATACATAACATCACGCCTTTTATCCTCGAGGCGTATGTAATGAATGAATGAATCTTTTAAGTCACCACATCGATCGACATTCCTATCTTATAAATATCACTCTAATTTCAATCGTTCAATTAAGAATTTCTCACTTCAATGAAAGATTATCATAACCTGCTAATCACAAATTCCGATAAAAATCTTCTTAAAGTGACATCTCACTAAAAACCAATTTAGATGTCTACTTTTTAAATTCAGAATCCAAACTTTATAATACTGTAATCCAAACTGTATAACTAAATATTGTCATAATTTACCTTAACTTATTAGCATTTAAGTACCTACTGGTACCTACTAGTGATTATATAACAATGTCTATTACTGTTACCTAACCTCGCCTGAAACACAGGATGTCCTAGTTCAGGCACCTTATATTGTGAACATTATATAGCTTTAAGCAATACTGTACATTTCTAGACTATTATGTTTGAAAATAAATTTTATTTTTTTTATTTAAATTTGATTGATAACCTTTGTATTGTTACCAAGTTCGAGAATACTGAAATCTTTTAAGGGTACTCAATAAATGGTAGTTTGAAAGGGTTCTAAGTTGAGAATAATTTCGTAGTACAAGAAGGATTATTTACGAAGGAACGAAGCTTATAGGTATTTGTAAATACTGCTGGCAGAAATACTATTTGACAAGGAGCTCTGAATAATTATTAGTGTCGTAGTTATTGCGGTTTAAGACATTTATTTCTCAAAAACAATTTATATTGACTTGATTGAGGAATACAAAATATACATAAGTAGGTACAGAATGCGAACCATTGCCCGAAACGACATAATATACCTGTATTTATAACCAATCAAAATATTAAATTACATACTTTAAATATATACAATAAAGTTTTTTTGAGTAGACGAGGTTAGGAGTCCCATGTAATATGGGAAGAGTCTATTGCCATATACTGAGTACAATTGCAGACTCCGTACAACTTCTGAGATTTTTTTAAGCCCCAGTATTACTTTGCCCCACCCGGGAATCGAGCCCGAGACCCCTTGCCCGGCAGTCGCACTTGCGACCACTGTTTTAAAGAGACAGTCACGTAACATACAGTATTTATACTTAAACAACTGCCATCTAATAAACAAAGATAACTGTATTCCTTCAACATTGAGTATTGCTGACACAACACTGTCTATTGTTAGCATCGCCTAGAGCTCTGCTGCTCCAGTAAGGACAAAAAGCGTGCAGATAAGTGAATATTTCTATTGGGGCAGACAGCGACGGAATTGTTTATTCAGAGCACGGATGCTCTGACAAAGTCGGACCTATATAATGCTTGGCAAAGACTAAGATTGTTAATAGTGTGTTTTGAAGACGTCATACATATTTACCTATTGTCTGCAGGGAAAGTTTACTTATCAATTTATTTTGAAACTAATCCTGTACCTATATGTAAATTGAATTTTATTTGTATTGTAACTTTCGTGAGATTAAATAAATTATTATGTTTTCGGCTTACTCAGCAGCGCGGTAGAGGGACAGATGCCGCGTCGCGGGTCGCGAAATCCTGCTCATGGATATGAGCCTCTAGCATGGCTTGAAACTAGTCGAGTTCCTTGTCAAATTATTACGTGAGTAAGCCGAAAACATAATAATTTTTATTTGTTGTGTTCGTGTAGCACATGTCATCATCATCGTCAGCCTGTTTTTGTCCAATGTCTTTCCAATAGCCCGCCTTTGATATCCATATTTTCATCGACAAGGAATCATTTTACTCTATTTATCAACCCGGTTTCTATGAACTCTTTCACACGGTCAGTTTAGCACATCAAAATTTTGGCACACAACTTGAACAAAGGCAATATCGACAGTTCAAAGTTGTGTCTCGCCTGCACTCCACAACTCTGTGCTCCACTTCGAACCTGGCGCTCGGGCAACAGTACAATTATTACGGTACAGTACGGTCTTGACCGTGATTGTGCGCGCACGCGGGGTCATTAACCTCTGCTACGACGATGGATAACGAATCGAAAAGATTAAAGTGTTCTAATTGTAATATAGTCATTTGTGAAGTTTTAGCTTTCGTTCAAAATAAGATCGATGTTATGACGGAAGAAAGCCTCGTACAAATCTGTGAAAGTGCTTTTAGTTCGGATGAGATTGAAGTAGCAAAATCGTTACTTTTTGAATCAGTGAACAAGCGGTTGAAGGCTAGAAAACGTCAAGGGAAGACTTTAAGGAATATCGAAGATATTATTTGCTTGTTTAAAGAAACGGACCCTGAACGGTTACCTATATTTGTGGCAAGAAATTTAGAAAAACTTCCACCCGTTACCTTCGATCATGTTGACGTTACACCTTTACTTAAAAGAATAGTTCTTTTAGAGAAAACCGTGCATGACATTCCACATAACTATGTGTCCAAGAGTGAATTGAAGGATTATATTATAGGACTAAACAAAGAAAATTCGTTTCTAGTTCAAGAAAGAAATGTTAATAATCGAAAAAGGGGAGGTAGATTGAATAATACAATCGACAGCGGACCTATGGCACTGACGTCATGCAACAATGTATCATTCAATGACGAAATAAACGAATTTAGTGAGTGTTCATCTATGTTGCATAAATCAGTGAACAAATCTGGTCGTTCGTGTCACTCATCACCCATTTTGGAGACACGCGTGACGAATAAAGTGCAGCTACCGTGAAGTGCGGCAGCGTGGAGTGCGAGAGCGGGACCTCAAGTGAGTGTGTGTTGCGTCCTAGCACGAGCGCCGAGTCGACGGTGATGGAACAGCTGTGGAGCGCACTGGCGGGTCGGTGAGTCATACTGTTATTGTTAACGATAAGGAGTTTAATAATTTAACTAAGAGCACGTTATCGCCACCAAAACAAGTTTCCTTTGCCGACCTACTTCAGAGAGAGGGTGAATGGAAGGTGCAAGCGAAGGATGAAGCCTGGCATTTGGTACAGAGAAATAGATTTAAAAACCGTTTGATTAGTCGGACAGGCAGTGCGGTTATTAATTCTAGCGAGAATAGCTCTAAGTTTAAAGCGGCGGAATCGAAAGTGCCACTGTTTATATCTAACGTGCATAGGGATGTAACTGAACAGGATATAATTAATTACATATACGATAAAACGCGAGAAACAGTTTCGTTAGTAAAAATCAAAATGAAGCAAGAAAGGAACTACAACGCATATAAACTGTATGTAACTAAATATAAAAAACTGACTTCCTGGACGACAAGTTTTGGCCATCAGGAATATCGTTCAGGCGTTTTCTGAACCTATCTCAGAATAAAAACAGGAGACAGGGCCTTGAAAATCGTAGTTCAGAAAGACAGATTAATACAAATATTTGTTAAAATTGAATTAATTAATTAATAATAATTATGGATTGCTACAGTGAAATAATAAGTTTAACTGTAAATCTTTGAAGAGATCTTTAGAAGGAATCAGGACGTTATGCGTAACAGCTGACGTGCTAGCCCTTCAGGAAACCTGGCTGCTTCCGCATGACTTGCCGCTGCTTAATACAATCGACGACGGGTTCGGGTGCACCGGCACGTCTGCGGTCGACACTACGGAGGGTTACTCAGCGGGAGGCCCTATGGCGGCGTCGCGCTGTTGTGGCGTAAAAGTGCGTTCGAATCTGTGTCCGTGATTGAGTGTAGTAACGTGCGGGTCTGTGCGATAAAGATAACCGTAGGCGGTAGGTCAGCGGTACTTTTTAGTGTATATATGCCTACTAACTCCTATGACAATCTACCCGAATTTACCGCGTGTTTTAGTGCGATTCGGTCGGTAGTTGAAGTGGAGGAGAAACAATGGTGTTGAGGCCTTTATATATTGGGCGACTTTAATGCTCATCCAAATGAGTTGTTTCATAATGAAATGTTAGCTTTATGTGAGGATTTTGAATGGCTTTGTATAGATTTAAACATGTGCTCTGAAACTACCTATACATTTTATAGTGAAGCTCACGGTTGTACTAGTGGTTGGACCACTGCATTGTTACAAAATCAGCTCGGGAGTCAGTCGTTGGTGTGACTGTACGTCATGACGTGTATTGGTCTGACCACTTTCCTCTTGTGGTTAAATGTAATATGTATAAGCTTAAACCTAAAGTTAATGATCTGTATACGGAAAAACCCATAAATCGTGTCGTGTGGGGCGAGAGACAGATACAACAGATTAATAAATATCATGAAATTTGTCATTCCAATTACGGTTGATAGATTTTCCACAGGAGTTGAGTGAATGTTGTGATGGTTTTTGCGCAAACAAAGATCATCATACAATCCTTACTAGAATGTATGAGCAAGTTATATGTACGCTGTCTCGCGCGGCCATTCAAACACATAGGGAAAAGTGTCCCAGAAGGGAGGTTATGTTATAGGGTGGAACAAGCACGTGGCGGACTCACATCGGAGGGCGCGGCTTGGATTTCGATTGTGGAATCTGACTGGGCGACCAGCAAATGGTCGAATCTTTGATGAGATGTCGGAGGCAAGGAGACATTTTAAAGCGAAATTA